TAGACCCATACTATCGAGTTTAAAACACCTTGTATAGTCGTATCTGCTGCGACAGTAAGAGATGCTGTACCTCATAAAATAAAGATATAACTAATATTGAAGACTACCCTAAATTTTTAGTTAGTATGGTGAAAATACAAAATAAATACATAAACCACAAAATGCCATAAAACCACAAATAAAACATTAAAATATAAAAATGTACTCTAAAAAGTGGTTAAATAAAAATTACAAGTTTTCATTTAAAAAACATTATTCGGTGGCCAGTTTTTCCATTTGTTATTCATCGAAGCACCAATATAGAACTCGATTCATTTTCGTTCAACGGGAATATATTCTCAAAATACCAATAATTGTTGTGCTCCCGCTCAAAATGCTTTTATCGTGACCATCGCTATCTACAGCGAAAACCGAAAATTAGGTTGTCTCTTCGTTGCTGCGACACCAACGATAAAATGGAATTGTCGCTCGCTAAAATATATTTAAATCATACGAAAAGAACTTGTACCCCCTATTTGTAAAAGAATTTGCAAGTGTAAGAAAATTCATTTTAAATATGGTCGAATTAAGGTTAGTGCTCGAATAAGTGCATGATCTTAATTTGTTTTTGCGCAGGTGAACAAGCCGGTAAATATTATCAAACCAGGGCTAACCTGCTACATGTCAGAAAGAGATCGACTTTTTTTGGAATACTCATGTACCTATAATTAAAGTTACTTTGGAAACAACAAAACCTGATTTTAAATAAAATGTGTAATTACATTTGCATTTACAACAATCTTTGCTTGTATAATAAATTGCATTTAATTTCTTATGATTTAAGGAGGTTCGATACCAAAAGAAAAATGGTAAGAATGTTTTCAAAGCAATTGAAATCTGTTAATAAATATGCAAACTGACTTGTGTAAAAATATCAGATCGATTGACAACGTAGTTTTTTTGAAAAATGATTTTAAAAATGCTCTTTTACACAGGCTCTTATGGGAGTTGGGAAAAAACTTTAATCAAACGTGAATATTGCTCTTAAAAATGGTTAGGATCGGAAAAATAAAATTGTAATTAAAGAATTAAATATTACTAAAACAATAAAAATATTTTAAAACAATAAAAATATGCACTTACAATGTAATTATTGAGATAATGGAATGAATATATACTGTTTTGACAAATTTGAACAAACATCTGATCCAATGAAAGGAAATATGGCAACACTGTACGCTGTATTTAATGCTTCGACTGATGCGTTATATGTATTTGAATAGCTCGATTATAGATTATAAAATTATTCCAGTCGAAAATATATGTAGTAATAATTAATATTAAATAAATTTTTCGTGATCTAAAGCAATATACTAGCAATTTGAAACAAAAATTGAAAGGATCTCTTTGCAAAACGAACAGTATATATGTTATGTCATAATCTTCAATTTGACAAGTCGACCTCTTACTATCATACACTGAACTTCTTGATAGTTATCATATGGATTCTCGGTTTGCACATTTTATTTTATTCTCATCTATCCACATTCTGTTTTACACTCATTTTATATTACTTTTCAGTCATTACTTTTCCTTTGTACCTTGGTTGTTCATTCATGTTTACGGAATTCGCGCAAAGTTGACAGTAATGACAGTTGACCCAACTTTTACCACCACGCCATGGCAATGTTGCCAGATTTCATCCATAATTTTATAAGCTCGTAATGAATAAATAGAGGCTTTTATTCAAATAAAAAGTGAACTGACGTGTATTAAACACGAACAATATATGCAAGCTAATATGTGTTGTATAAATTTCATTCTAAATAGCATATTTAGTTCGCTGAAATTAATTTATGTAAGGTTGGTACTGCAACAAGACTCCCGTGTATAAACATAGGCATACTCTCCGCACCGCCCGCCCCGGAAGAGGTGTATCGAACGCCCTTAAATCACTGCCCCTTGTTGCAATCAATTCAAAGGTTATTTTGTAAATAAATTGTTTTTTAATTATTGTATTTTCTTTATTACTAGAAAATATACAGCTGTACTTTAAAAAATGTGTTTTATTGAAATTAAAATTATGTTTTATAAGAATAGATAAAAAAATGTAACAAATAACAAACTTATTATGCAGAATGTCCCAAAAACATCCGAAATCCCTGCAACTTTTCAAATTTTTAGGGGGGGGGGTGAAGCGGGAGGCGTGAGGTCTATACTTATCATGTTAATAATCATTGCTGCCAATGCAAAGAAATATATTCTCTATCATTAGAAAGTAAGTAGAGCTTAAAATACTTATAATTATACAGGGTGTCTCACGGTGACGGCCCATTAGAATTTTTTCAGAGATAACTTAAAAACTAGAAGAGATAGGTAGAGGGAACTCTGATACCGTTAGAAAGAGAATAAAATTGTGTATCAGAATATAGAACAGGGTGTTCCGTTTAAAAAACCGATTTATGAAGGTTTGAAGTTAACTAAACTTAACGGCATTAAATTTCTAGCACCCTGCATGCTATTAAGCCACTTTGAAAGTATGGATACGAAGCTTAGGGGTCTAGCTATCCCCCCTATAAATATTGTTGCTTTATCTTTCTTACTATAAAATACACATGGTTTGAAGCTAGTCACTGTTTATTTTTTTTGAAAAAAATTAAATATCTCGAAAACGGTTAATTATAGGAATAGGGAAACTTCATAAAAATCCACCTAAAATAACACGTAGAATCCAAAATTGCAATAATGTATAGGAAGTTCCATTTAAAATAAGCAAGTTGATGTCGACTTCCGGTATAACCGGAAGTGGTATGTGGACGCCATTATTATAGTTGAGAAGGGCATGCCCGAAAACCCGGTATCCTAAATTTTCTATATTCAAATCAAAGTAGTCTCTGAAATAATTCTAATGGGCCGTCACCGTCAGACACCCTGTATATTAAGATTAGGTTCGAAATTTAAACTGAAATTTCAAACTTTTTTATTCGTTATCAAACAGGTAGATGTTACAACCAACCAGTCGGCAAAAATATCCTTTCTATGATTCCCAATCGTACAGTTTTTGAAACTAGAACATCCTGAAACATATACAGGCCATTCATTCCGAAGTACATCGGCAACGTTACTGGCTAATACAGGAGTTAATGTATTAGCAATCAAGAGACATGGTGGGTGGAAATCAGCCAGAATTGCAGAAAGTAATGTTGCTGACAGTTTAAGTGACAGAAATGGAATAGCCAACAGAATTCTTTACAATCCAGCTTCTAGTAATAAAATATTATATTATATTGTTTGCAAGCAATCATAATTAATTTAGAGAATTTTTTTATTTCCTCTCTTTTTTCTCGGAAATTCGGATTATCGCACAATAATTTGCATAAGAAGAACTTCATAGTCACTAAAATAAGCACAAAAACGTGGACGACTGAAACACACTGTGATTCTCTCTAAAATAAAACGTGGGCAAACCGCCAAAATAATCCTGATTGGTGCAGGAATTTTGAAATTTTTAATTTTCACCAATGGTGAAACATTCGATAATTCATAAATTTAAAAAAAATTTATTATTATAAAGATTATTGAATAATTCATTATTATATAGATAAATAAGTTTAAAAAAAAAAATTATAAACTTCAATAATTTTTTTTTTATAATTTTTATTGAAAATTAAATTGTATGATTTCTAGAATAATTTTATTTGTTTTCATCACTAGCTTCCACTTTTTTGTAGGACATTGGTAAAATCTTGATTCAAATATCGTTCTAAAAAGAAAAAATCGAAAATTAGGTTGTTATTAATGAGAAAATTGTACCCGTGGAAATGACACTTTCCCAGTGTAGGACTAGGAAAACCTTCCATTTTACGTGTTGGACAAAAATGTCAATGATTTATAATAATAATTACCAAGCATCTGTGAAAAAATTTGGTGGTTATTAATAACTTATAAGATTATATTATTTTAACATGTTAAGAGTGGGAGACGCTTCAGAAAAACCATCGAACGTGTAGGACAAGAATTTTTTAGAGTTTTTCATACAATTATCATGCGATTTAAGTAAAAAACTACTTATTAGTAATAAATATTGATCATTCACCAAATCGACATGTTTGACACCCCTACGCTTTATTAACTACCGTTTTCGAGAATTTTCGTAGAGGGAAAAGTTGGGCGTCTCGTCAAAACGAAGCTATTCCCCAAAATTCAGCTTGTTATTAATCAAAGAAACAAAAGGGTCTGGGCCTGTGGACTAAAACGCGAGGGGAATAATTATCCAGATTTTATAAACGTTACTAAATATAATAACTCTACAATTACTATAAATATTCATTCATAATAATAATAAAATATAATGTTCATCAAATATTTCTATTTATTTGTTCATAAAATATGCATTTATAACTCAAAATCGCTTTTTTCCCTAGGGAGGTAAGTTACCTCACTTACATCTTGTTGTCCATAGCAACTTCCACTTCTACGGTAAAATCCACTTACCTCCATAAAAAAATGTTATAATAGTCTATTTACTATAGTGGGAGCAGAGAAAATAATTTTAACATCCTTCATCCTGAAAACTATGTAGATTGTTCAGTTCGTATAAACTTTGTTTCCTTAAAATAATAATCGACCGTACCCAGTGACCACCCAGCATATCTTATACCCACCATACATTTTGACGCTGTTACACTTATTATCCAGACTCTTCCAAGCCGTGCATACTATGCCCGTGATGTATTTCCAATAACAATAACAAGGAATTGACCCCGTTCACCTCTCTTCCAGCTCTATTAAGCTCAAACGACGAGTCGGTACCACTTTTAATAGCGCAATTAAGGTTGTTAGTCTTAAGAAAATAATTATGCAGCCGCGTAGGTGAGCTAATTGAAGTTGGCAGTTTAATAAACCTATTAAACCTATCAAAAAGCTTAGTTCCGAACGTACTATGAGTTTGACCAACGTCCAGCGCTGCGACACAATACGTAAAATCGGTGACTGCTGGTAAGTACTTGCCAGTACGCATTCATTCTTAACTCTGATGTTTGTGCTCCTAAAAATTTTAATATCGTAAGCCACTCAGTTTGAAATCGAGAGTCGGACTGTTTCGTCAAAGGTTGTTTGGTTTTTGGCACCAGTTTTGATGGCTTTTAAGGTAAAATTAACTGACATATTAATTATACAACTAATTCTGTAACTTAATAAATAATAGTCCAGACGGTATCTGTTTCAAAAAGTCCATATTTGGGTGAATCGTATATCCACGGAGATTTTTGGCTTTTTGGCTTTTAAATATCACTAGAAATGAAAATTTTTCTATGCGCATAAAAAAAACATGGGCCTAACTTTTGGCGGCGCAATTTGTTAAAAAAATTCGAAAAATGTCATATTTTTCTTCCTATTTAATTATGTTGATTTTAGGCGAAAATGAAAGAGGAAAAAACTGTTTGTAATTAAATTTTTTACAAAATATGACTAGTTACAAATCGAATGAATCATGATTATTATCCTAAAAATCGAAAAAATAACCAAAAATGGCGTTAAAACACTACTTTTTAAGGATTTTTTTTGGTTGTCTTTAAATTGGGCATAGGACCTTCATACTTGGCTCAAGAAAACTTCATGTCATGTAGAATCACCACACCAAATTTCATCAAAATCGGTTTGATAGATTTTGCATAATAATTTTGCAATTCAAATTTTGAAAAAAAAATTTGCATATTTTCAAAATTTTGCACAGCAAAAACCAAGGCTCTTAGATACTTGAAACTTTAATCACATACAAAAGGGCTCTCAAGCTTTCAAACGCTTTTTGAAATATTCGACTCCGTCAATTAGGAGAACTCTGGCGCTTGTTTAAACATTGGTCGAATTTTTGTACTTATAAACAATTAGAATAACTTTGTGAGTCTATAAAGATTTATCGCAAAATTCCTGAAACACATCAATTTTTATTTTCAATTGGTCATATTACAGAGAGGTTTGTTTACTTTTTTAATTATGTGGGGGGTTGCAGCAACCCCCAAATTTTTGTTTAGGTAAATGGAAAGGTAGATTGATTAATGTTTTATTTTAAGGCTTTGTCAATTACCAATACAATTACGTATTTTTTTGTTACTTTTTATAAGCAATGCGTCTGAAAAAAAAAATTAAATAAAAAATGTTTACTGAAACTTCTTTAATGTAAAAAATTTTCGAAATGCACGCCACCTTGTTGCTGACAATACCCTAATCAATAATAAAAAGCATTCAACCCCTATTCTTTGCTAAAACTCGGCGATGTCGTTAGGTTTAATAGTGCTTTTTAGATATCCCCATAAAAAAAAACTAATGGGGTAAGATCGGGTGATTCTGCTGGCTACTCAATTGGCCCTTTCTTCCAATCCACCAATTCAGAAGCCCTTCGTTGATATAAGTCCCTCCATTTTGTACAAAATGTGGTGGACAACCATAAACGGTTTTATTCCCCAATAATTTGGATCCCGATTTATTTGACCAACGGATGTTGTTTCAACAAGACGGGGCAGCACGGCCTTTTTGCTCAAAATATACGGATCTATCTTAACGAAATGTTTCCGAATCTTACCCCATTAAATCTCTTTTATGGGGATATCTAAAAAGCAAGGTTTGCTACTAAATCTAACGAAATCGCCGAGCTTCAACAAAGACGAAAGATGAAATTAAGCGAGTAACGCCGGAAGTGCTACAAAATGTTCGGAATGCTTTTTGTTATCGATTAGGGTATTGTCAGCAGCAAGGTGGAACTATGAAATTTCTTTTGCATTAAAGTAGTTTCAATAAACATTTCCTTATTTTTTTTCCAACACATTGCTTATAAAAAGTAACAAAAAAATACTTTATTGTATTTGCAATTAAAAAATTTCTACAATACAATCAACCTATAATTACAATACAATCAACCTATAATTCCGTTTAAAAAAAAGTTGGGGGTTGCTGCAACACCCCACATTATAAAAAATAGACAAATCTCTTTGCAATATGCCCCCTTGAAAATATAAATTGACCCTGTATATTAAGTTANACAATACAATCAACCTATAATTACAATACAATCAACCTATAATTCCGTTTAAAAAAAAGTTGGGGGTTGCTGCAACACCCCACATTATAAAAAATAGACAAATCTCTTTGCAATATGCCCCCTTGAAAATATAAATTGACCCTGTATATTAAGTTACAGAATTTTTTCCAGTTAAACTTGCCACTCTTGTTGACTAACAATGAAACCTCGTATTCTTTGGTGAATTTTAAGGGGAGTTTCTCCTATAAAGTTTTTATCTAGGACGCTTCCTTAAAAAGACACAGGGTGCTAAACTTCAAAAAATGTTTTTAATATTTTAAAATAATTTAATAACTAGTACGTCAAATAATTTCTCGATTCTTTTTTTTTAAGTTTTACTCGAAAATCAGGCACTTTTCGAAAAACATAAGAGAGTAGTAATTTGTAGAAAATTGAAAGACGAATCCGAAAATATTATGGTTGTTACCGTAAAGCAGTGGCGTACTATTTTATTTAGAAAAACATGCCGATACCCTGTATGTTCGCCACTGGAGCAGGTAAATTTTAGGAAAAGTTTTTAAATTATTTAAAAAAATTAAAAATATTTTTTGAAGTTTGACACCCTGTATCTTTTTAACGAAACGTCCTAGATAAAAACTTTATGGGAAAATTACCAAAGAATACGTGGTTTCATTTTTGGTCACCGTTTGTGAATCGCCTTGTATTTATATATTTTATTTGTGGCATAGTTGTTGTTTTTTGTTTTCTATTGCAACCTGTGAAAAAATTTAAAAAATTGACAAATGCTTGCACCAAAAGGATCACCTGAGGGTTAAATTTATGAAAATAGTTTTAACAAAATACTAAATACAAAAAATACATCTATAGAACAATTAGAAACACATTTTGTCCATTCAAAAATGACCTCTTAATGATAATATTTTGCTTTTCCAAAATTTTCTCCGCATGGTCGGTTTCCCAAAAGTGATAAAAAATTTTTGATTTCTCAAATTCATTGCTGGCTGAGGCACGTAGTCCTTAAAGTAGTTGTTTTCTACAGTATCAACAGTTAGGAGTCTTTTCGGTAGTATTAGAAACTTTTGATGAGATTAAAAAAAATCGATTTATTTCAATTAACTCCTTTACAATAAAGTAAAAATATTGTTGGCTTAAAATCATTCAAGGAGCAACATCCTGAGATAATGACATGGACTCAGAACATTCCTTGTTAATTTTTAACATGTGTTTGGAAATTTTTAGTCATTTGAAAATGTACAATAAACTTTATTTTTGTAATTAAATAATAATTACAGTATTTAACAATCCGTATATGTTTGTTTAGCAAGTTTTGTTATCAAACAGAATTTATTTGTTTAATAATTTATGTTAATTTTATAGTTACTACATCGAACAAATATTTAGGTATCTAGTCTACCAATAATAACAAAATCAAATATTTACAAATTTATGCTAATTTGACAGAGTATTATTTTTAGATACAAACAGTAGAAGAAAGAATTGTCTTTAACAAGGAGACACGTACGAGGTCTGTTCAAAAAATAACCGAACTTTGTTTTTATAAACTTTATTATTAATTTTATACATTATTGAAGTCATCAATAGTCTGAACATGCGCAATTTTAATTTCGGAATCAAGGAAAAATCGCTGACGAATTAACAAACCTGAGTGTGCGGGTGAATTGTCATACTGCAAGAACCATGAGTTGTCTCGCACAAATTTGGTTTCTTTTTGCGGATTTTTTCACGTAACCATTGTCAAACATCTTTATAACACACACGGTTCATTGTTTGACCGTAAGGTAAGATTTCAACATGCACAATTCCAATTAAAGTCGAAAAAAACAGTCAGATCACTTTGACTGATCGAGATTGACGTGCTTTCATGGGGCGTGAAATCCTTTAACAATCCATTGTGATGATCGAACTTTTGTCTCAATATCGTAGACGTAAACGTAGCTGTCGTCTAACATTATGATCCTTTGAATGAATGTTTCATCGTCATTGGATTTTTCAAGGAGTTGTCGACAAATGTTTACACTATTTTCTTGCCGTTGTTCGGTTATCAAATAAAATAGGAAGTAATTTGTAAGTATAAATTATAATAATCAGAATGTTTGATGTAAATATAATTCGCAATACTCTTTGGTAAAGCTGAGTGTACCACAGGGATCTGTTTTAGGCCCTGTGTTATTTTTGCAATATACAAATGATCTCGATACTCTCTCACCTAATTCTCATTTTACTATGTACGCTGATGATACGTCTTTAGTAATATCTAATGAGTCAAATCGAACCTTAAAACTTGAATGAGGTATTTTGATAAAATTCAAGCACTTCGATTTTGCTCTACTCAAAATAGAAATTGCGAAACATTAAATTTGAATATTAATAGTAGTTCTCTACCTACTGATTCTGTGACTGTGAAATTTTTTAGGTCTAAATTTGGACACAAGCCTTGACTGAAAATGTAACTGTAAAAATATATTATTAAAATTGTCTTCAATAGGTAACTTTTAACTTATTTATTTCGAAATATTAGAACAGTCCTAAGTACCGATCAACTCCTCTATTTATACTATGCCCAAGTTGAATCTCGATTGAGCTATGGTGTTTGTGTCTGGGGTAATTCATCTCGTTCCATGTTTTTGTTGGGCAGAAACGTGTTTTAAGATGTACGTTTGGTGTTTTAAGTACTTATTCTTGTAGAAATATATTTAAACATTATAGAATTCTCACATACTCAAACACCAAAGCAAATTTGTGATAAATAACGAGTATCGCAATGTCAATACCAGACAAAAACATAATTTTCATGTACCATTTGCTCGATTAAATTTAACTACTCGTTTGTAGGGCTTAAAATATTTAATTGTTTACCTGTAGAACTAAAAAGTATAACTAGTGAGTATTTATTCAAGATATTCAATTCAAAATTCAAAACAATATTTAGTGAATGAATGTTGTTTGTGTTTGTAAGTTTGTGCAACGCAATGCTGCCAACCGCGTATCACCATTAGCATTAACTCAAGAAGTCCGCTTATTTTCTGAACAGACCTGGTATTTTCAACTTGTTATTCTATTAACATTTAGCTACAAAAAAATGTTAAGTATCC